GGGTCATTTTAAAAGGGTTCCCACCAAGACTGCTTTCTCTCCCCTGCAATCTAAGCAGAAAGATGCAGAAAAATGCTAATGGGTTTGGGGTTGAAGCAACCAGCTAGAAGAAAGACCTTGCCCTGTCACAAGGGAGCTGTTTCTAGTTGGGAGAAAACATTCTCCAAAACCCCAAAGGCACTCCACAAAAAAAACAAAACAAAACAAACAAAAAAACACTTTGAGGCCAGGAAGCACCAGATCCAGATTGCCATGATATCAATCAAATAAAACATCTGCCATTTCTCTTCCATTCTCCACACCTAACCCCTGCAACCCCAGAGGACCTAGAAGAGCACGTGGTGGGAAAGCAGCCTGCAGCCTGAATATGCTCTGGCTCGCGGAGCACAGAAGCTTGAACTTGACGTTCAGAATTTTATCTCTGACATGCGGGTAGACGTTTTACCTTTTTAATTTGGGGGACTAAGTAATAACTGTGTGACATTTCATTATCTGAGAGTTGCCAGGAAAGTCAGAGGACTTGCTGGAGAGTTCAGCCATCTAGATTCAAGTTGAAAAGTAAGTTTGAAGGCAGATACTATTGGTTTGATTTTGAATCCTGTTTTGAATAGTATTTGGTTTTGAACATTTCTTTGTAAATCTGAAGTTAATTATCTATTTGACTTCTGGTTAAAAGGCAAATGTAAATGTTTTCATGCCATTAAAAGGCAATTTTTTGTTTTAAAATAAATGGTAGTTTCCTCCTTGGGTTGGACTCATTCAAAACAGTGTTGTTTCCCCTGCTAATGTTTTTCCAAAATGTAAACCTTCAAGCTGAACATGTATCTCATTCAATACTATAGTATTTAAATTTCACTTAATCACAATGTTATTGATATAATTCAATCAATGTTGATATTCTTTCACCCTTCTCAAACTTGACTCTAGTAATTAGTATATAAAATGAATCTACTATGTTTGGTGACATGCCAAGTCTTTATTTCTTTCTTGTCAATCCAAAAACCTTTCCTTGGCATATTCCAGTTGAAAGGTTATGAAGATGTCTGAAAGAAATTAGTTTATGAAGGTGACTACAAGTAAACATTTCTTTGGTAGCTTCTGCAGAATAATTCAATTTAAATAAATGTGGATCACTTAAACATGTCTTGAAAAATATAAGAACTCACTCAACTGAAAGTTTTATTTTTAATTAGAGAAGAAATTGTTAACGTATGAAATTTGAGGGTTTTTTAAAAAAGAATGTAGGGTTGCTACTATTATTTAATTGTCCTGGTAGAACTGGCTAAAACAATTAGCCAAAGTAAGAAGCAAAAGTACACATATAAGAAAGGAAAAAAGCAAAATTATCATTATTAGTAGATAATTGTTTACCTGGGAAACCCATGGATCTCAAATGGAAAAACTATTATAAATAAAAATATTATAAACAATAGAAAAACTAAACAATAAGAAAATTCAGTTATGTGGGAGTTACAAAATTACTTTATAGATGTAACCAGTGTTAAAATATGAAGGAATAAAAGTTCACATTCATAATAGCAACAAAGCATACATAATACACTGGAGTAGGCTTAAAAACATGTACTATATATATGAGTAAAACTTTAGAATGCTACTAAGAGACAAGATAAAATCTAGGTAAATGGACAGATATAAAACTCTTCTTGGTTTTGAAGATTTTTCATACAATCTCAATTTAAAAAATTTAAAAGCAAATTCTAAAATACATAGGAAAAGTATATATAGAAGAGAGACTTAGGTTTAAAAAGCATAAAATTATAATCAAGCTCCAGTTGTTAAAGCAAGTATTAATAGCGATGCCACAGATGAATAGAACAATATAGAGTCCCAAACTAGACTCAGAGTACTTGGAAATATAGTTAGTGGTCATGGTTGTATTTAAATAATTTAAGACAAGTTGTATTGTTTAATAAGTTGCATGGGTACAGATGGCTAGCTAGTTTGGGAAAAAATGACGTGGAAGCTATACCTCACCCCTCACATCCAAATTAGTCTTAGAAAGATTAAAGGTTTAAATGAACTCAAAAGAAAATACAAGTATGTATACCAAAGATAAACTATAAACAGGAGATAATATTTTTAACATATAACAAAGGATTACCTTTTTAATATATGAAGATCTAATACATTAATAAGAAAAAGACCAAAATAAACAACACAGAAAATATAAATGGCTTTTAAAAATATGAAAAATTGAAGAATAAGTTCTTGATTTAATGTACAGCATAGTGGCTATAGTTAACAATATTGTAATATATGTACTTGAAAATTGCTGATAGTAGGTCTTACATGTTCTCACCACATACACAAAGTTTTATATATGAGTTATGGAGGTGCTAACTAACCCTATTGTAATAATTTCCCAATATATGTATATCAAATCATTACAGTGTACTTCTTAAATTTCTACAATGTTATATGTCAGCTATATCCCAGAAAAGCTGGAGAAATAGGAAAAACTGTTCATAATTATTACATTTAAGAGGTAAAAATCATAATAAAAAGGAAATACCATTTTTTCCTAAAACATTGACAGAGATCTGAAAGTTTGGTAACAAAAGTGTTCTCCAGAGTGTAAGGATACATTGTGGCGTTATAAATTGTGACCACCTCATTCAAGAGTGATTTCACAATAGCTTCCAAAATTGTGTTTTATTTATTTATTTAAAAATACGTACTTATTGATTTTTTTATAAAGAAAGGAAGGGAGAGGGAGAGAGAAACATTGATTGACTGTCTCCTGCACTCCCCCTACTGGGGATTGAGCTGGTAACCTGGGCATGTGCCCTGACAGGGAATTGAACAGAGACCTCTCAGTCCATGGGATGATGCTCAATCCACTGAGCCACACCAGCCGGGTTTGTCTTACATTTTCTTTATTACACAGTACGTACAACCTCTTATAACATGCTATAGCCTTTACTTATTTGTCATGCTTATTGTAGAGTATCTGTTTCATTGGCTAGAATGTAAGCTTTGTCTGTTTTCTTCAATGATGGATCCAGACTATATTGAATCAATAAATGAATTAAGAAATCTGCAAGACAAATGAAAAAACTCTAAGTATATGTAAATATTCATAGCATTATATATATGTGTGTGTGTGTGTGTGTGTGTATGAAATGTAAAAGCTCATAGATGCATACAGTATCTCTGAAAGACTGAGAGAAACTGGAAATAATGGGTGCCTTCTATACTTCTAGAATGTACACCTATCACTTCAATTAAAAACCAAACTTGTAGAAAACAAAATGCAATGCATAGCTGAGACTAATTCTGGAATTCAAAGTTCTTTGAGTCTTAACTTTTTGTTTCTTAGAAGATGTTTAATTGTATTACCACTAGGTGGCACATACTTACTGATAAATTCTTAAAGACAGTTGGACACAGGTTTTCTAGAAAGCTCTTCCGTTATCCAAACTCACCAAAGTTTACTTTAGCTATAAATTGCATTGATTTTTCTCAAGAAATTTCCTAACTTTGATTGTTTAGTGCTATATCAGTTTTTTGGCGATTTTTATCTGTAATTTCTTACTTAGCATTTGAGTTGGAGCCATGTCTTAAATCTGCAAATGATAGTTAAGATATCCTTAATTTAGTATAAATTTTCTAATGCTTATTGAATTGTATATCTCTACTTTTCATATTTTTTATATTTAATGACATAATGAATGAAAATTAAAGATTGTGTGTACAAAAGAAGATTTTTTTATTTGATTATATTGCTTTGCTGCTTTTATTCCAAATAAATCAATGTCCAGAACCACTTGCAATTTAAGAACCAAGTTCTGAATGCTTATATAATATGCAGAGATATTAGGCAAATGTATACTGTGGAGAATACAAAAATTAAATATTATGTATTGCCTCTGTCTTCAAGGCTCTTTCATTTTATGGGTGGAGACAATCATGCATGCAAATTAATTATAATACAAATCAGAATGTAGTTAATAATTAAATGAAAATATTAAGTGTAGTGAGAACTCATAGTAAATATTAATTTGGGCACTCCAACAATAAGGTAGACTTTGAGAAGAGCCGGGTGATTTTTTTAGCCATTTTTAACCTAGAGATTGTTTTTCTTTGCTAAATATATTTTTGACAAAACTAAATACATATTCAGAGAAAAGTGCTGTATTCAAGTAGAATAACATTTATTAAGTGCTTCCTACTCCAGCAAACTGTCATCTATTATTTCACTTAATATTCATGAGACCTTTTTTATTTTTATTTTATTTTTTTATAATCCTCACTCGAGAATATTTTTCCTATTTATCTTCAGATAGAGTGGGAGGGGGAGAGAGGGAGAGAAAGGGAGAGAGAGTGAAACATCAACTGGTTGCCTCCGACATGACCCCAACCAGGGCTGGGGACAAACCACAATCGAGGTACGTGCCCTTGACCGGAATCAAACCCGCGACTCATTGGTCTACAGACTGATGCTGTACTGCTGAGCCAAACTGGCCCGAGCGAGAGACCTTTTGATTTATGTACAGCTATTCACATTTTACAGATAAAGAAATTGAGGCACAGAAAGTTTAAGGAACTTGTATGACTATGTCAGCTGTCTGCCAGAACACCAAAACCAGATGTGAATTAAATTAATTTTCCTACAATAAGAAGCTTAGCTTTTTAATTTTTGCCAATTCAGTATTATTGCTATGTTACTTAAAAGGGAATCAACATTATTCTAATAAAGTATTAACATTGACTACTTTGTTACAATGGTAGTCTTAATTTTTATAACTTTCTAAGTGTGATATGAATCATATTAAAATATTAGTGAATCAAGAATATGACCCTTTTGGCTATTAACATGTAAAATTTCTACAACTTTGCTGTATTCTAAAATAATACTACAATAACAATCAGACAACAAGTCTAAGTAAATTATATTTGGTTCTAGTTCAACAGCTAAATCAGGTGGATATTAAAACACAAATATATATTGACAATCTTATTTTTCTGTGTTTCTTTAGCCAGGAAAATGTAAAAATAAAAAGAAGTGGTACATAAGTGCACGACAAGAAGCATGCCGTCTTTATGGATATTCTCCTGAGCAAAGACTGGAAATGTGCCACCTATCAAAACAGGGTATGTAATTTTTAATTTTTTGCCACCCCCAAATAAGGATTTATTCAGATGCATGCTTTCCAAAATGTGTATGCTCATTTAAAAATTTATATCTTTGTCCACTGAAAATTATTTTTTATGGATTAATATAGTATATATTTTACTCCCTGACTATTTTCAGTGACTACACATACACTCTATTTAAATGCAGGGGTTTTAATGATCGCATCTGTCGTCTTTGCTCTTTAGATTATCTACATAGGTCCTCTTGTGTATTTCAGAGCATGTATTTCAAAATTAGAGGCCATGGCTTTAAAATATATTTGTGGGGTGAAACTTTCATTGGATATTCTGTATTATTTCAGAACAAAGTATTTTTAAATAAATTCAAGGCAGAGATAAAAGATTATCTTTAATTATTTTTAATTAGGTGAAAAATATAATATGTCAGGTCATTTTCAAAGAAAGTATTTTTTGAATCATAAATATGGTTTATACATTGGTTTCCAAATGAATTCATCATAAGGATTATAGTAAGTATAACATTTTTAAACTAGAAAATTATGATTATCACATAAAAATGTTGATTTTCAATAAACTTAAATGTCTCTACTTAATAATCATAATAATTTTCTATCTTACAAAGGCCCCTTTTCATTTTTTTTTTTTTTTTTATCTTTTTTTTTTAATCCTCACCCGAGGATATATATATATTTTTTATCCTCACTCGAGGACATTTTTCGATATTTTGTTCAGAAAGAGTGGGAGGGAGACAGAGAGAGAGAGAGAAACATCGACGTGAAAGGGACACATCGAGTGGTCGCCACCCGCACGACCCAACCAGGGTCCGGGACAAACTGCAACCGAGGTACATGCCCTTAGCAGGAACCGAACCCGGGACTTTCTGGTCCGCGGGCTGATGCTCTAACCGCTGAACCAAACCGGCCAGGGCGTCATTTTATCACAGTAATTTTTTTCTCCTTTGGAAAAGTTCAGTATCTATATTTTAAAACTTACATGTAAAAACATTTTAGTTGAGAAAATGTTTAAATATTAACCCAACCTATTAACTTTAGATTTTGAAAGCAAATATATGTAGGTTAGAAAAGAGTAGAAAAAGAATGACAAGCACACTACTTGGGCTTACTCTGAGTCCAGGAAAAGAGACATTTGTTATCATAAATGAGATTTTATTCCTTGTGCTGTAAATATAATGTCTTTTTTTTTCATCCTCACCTGAGGACATTTTTCCATTTTTTGTACAGATAGAGTGGGAGGGAGAGAGAGGAAGAGAGAGAGAGAAACATCGATGTGAAAGGGACACATCGAGTGGCTGCCACCCGCACGACCAACCAGGGCCGAGGACAAACTGCAACCGAGGTACATGCCCTTAGCGGGAACCGAACCCGGGTCTCTCCTCCGGACCTCAGGCCGATGCTCTAACCGCTGAGCCAAACCGGCCAGGGCTATAATGTCTTTATTATTAGCAATATAGGTTGAATTCACTCTGTTGTCAAAATACAATTTTGTGTTTTGCATAGACTATACATTTCTATTATGTAACCAAAATAATATTTGAAATATTTAGTTTTTTAAAACATTAATACCTTGAAGTAACACAATAATTTACTTAAAAATTATGCTATGGCCATTTCACACTAGCAGGAGACCCACTCTCTCCATAAGTTACGGAACTGTGTCTTTGCCATTGTTGTATATGCCAGGGCATTTATGTCTGGGTCTTTGGGCATTCTGGCTTGTGCAGGGACCCTATAGACAAGCTATTTTTTCATCGGGTCTGCAGCAACAGACCACCATTTTCTTACTGGAAATCTGATGATATTTGCATGTAGAATTTGGTGTAATTCAGCCTGATTATTGAGAGCCTTTGCCTAAGGACTTGCATTTTCTCTGAAGTAGCTAAAAAAGGGGGCATGAATAGACTACTAGGAGTTCAGTCTTTGCCATAACTGTCTCACTTACTTTCTATTCACTCTTCACTATCTCCAAAATAGACAATTTAATCCTTGTTTCTGCTTAGCTTTCAGGGTGAATTCTAGTATGCATTTAGCTTTTTACTGTGTTTAAAAGTAGCTTTGAGAGATAATTAGCTACTGTTTATATAACTTTACAAAAATTGAGTAACCTAAAGGCAAACCATTTATTTAATCTCAGCAATTTTGAGGATTTCTTCATCCTGAAATTTCTTCTTCCAACCTAGAAATAATTACTATTAATTTTGGGGCCTCAATTCTTCCTGACCTGTAGAAATTGGCACACTATTATGTATAACTCTTTGTTGAGATCTAGAGTCAGTAAATGACATATAAATATAGACCCAGTCAGACTGTGATAAATTTTAATGTACTGTCACATGATGGTTGGCCTGTATTTGTTGTATTAACTATTACTCCAAATGAATGATTCTTCTGCGGAAGATAGAAAACTTTTTCTTATATAGGAAAATTCATTATAATTATATTTTAAAAATGAATAGGGTATTATCTATATGGTCTCTTTATAATTCAGCCTTAGGCTTTTGTATTTATTTGTAGAGTTAATATTTTCTTACATGCTCTGCATTTTACAGTAGATGTCCCTATCTCTACCTTTTTTTTTTTTCAGAATTATTTAAAAAAAATAAACTTTATTTTTTAGAGCAGTTCTAAGTTCACAGCAAAATTAAGCAAAAAAGTATAGTTTACGTATGTTCCCTGCCCCACCACTCAACATCCCTCACCATAGTAGATTTGTTACCATCTATGAACCAACTTTGACACATCATTATCCTCCCATAGTTTACATTAAGGTTCACTCTGTGCTGTACATTCTATGGGTTTTGAAAAATGTATAATGACACGTATTCATCCTTGTAGTATCATACAGAATCATGTCACTGGCCTAAAAATGCCCTGAGTTCTACCTATTCATTCCTCCCTTTTCTCCATCCCTCCACCAATAACTGGCAGCTACTGATCTTTTTACTGTTTCCATAGTTTTGCCTTCTACAGAATGTCATATGGTTGTAATCACACAGGATATGGCCTTTTCAGATTGGCTTCTTTCACTGAATAATAAGCATTTACGTTTCCTCCATGTCTTTATAGCTCTTTTCTTTTTTTAGCACTGAATAATATTACATTGTTTGTATGTAGCAGAATTTATATATTGACGTACTGAAGGATATCTTGGTGGCTTCCAACTTTTGGCAATTACGAATAAAGCTGTTATATACATCCATGTATAGATTTTTGTGTGGATATAAGTTTTCAGCTCCTTTGGGTAAATACAAGGAGTGCAATTGCTGGATCATAGAGTGAGAGTATGTTTAGTTCTATAGGAAACTGCCAAACTATCTTCCAAGTGCCATTTTGAATTCTCACCAGCAGTGAAAGACAGTTCCTGTTGCTCCATGTCCTTGACTATATTTGGTGGTGGTGGTGTTCTGGATTTTGGTCATTCTAAGTTTAGTGGTATCTTATTGTTTTAATATAAAACTCTCTAATGACATGTGATGAACAAACAGCCTTTCATATGCTTGTTGCCATTTGTGAATCTTTTTTGGTTAGGTGTCTGTTCATTGCCCATTTATTTACTTACTTATTTATTTATTTATTTTATTAGTTGTTTATTTTCTTATTAAGTTTTAAGAGTTCTTTGTATATTTTGGATATCAGCCCTTTATCAGATAAGCATTTTGCAAATATTTTCTCCCAGTCTGGGGATTATCATCTCATTCTTTTAACAGTGTCCTTTGCAGAGTAGCAGTTTTTAATTTTAATTAATCCAGCTTATTATCTTTTTTTGTTTATGGACCTTGCCTTTGGTGTTGTAAAAAGTCATCAGCATACCCAGGGTCTTCTAGACTTTCTTCTATGTTACCCTCTAGGAGTTTTATTATTTTGTATTTTAATTTGAGATGTGTTATCCATGTTGAGTTACTTTTTGTGAAAGATGTAATATCGGTGTATAAATTCAGTTTTTGGCATGTGGATATCTAGTTGTCCCAACACCATTGGTTGAGAATACTGTCTTTTTTCCATTATCTTTACTTCTTTGTCAAAGATCACTTGACTATATTTATATGAGTTTATTTCTGGGCTCTCAATGTGTTTCATTGTTCTGTTTTTTTATTAGTTTTCCTGATACTCACTGTGTTGATTATTATAGCTTTATAATAGTAAGTCTTTCATTCAGATAGGGTCAGTCCTTCAACTTAGTCTTTTTCATTGTTGTGTTAGCTCTTTAGGGCCTTTGCCTTTCTATAGAAACTGTAGAATCAGTTTGTTGATTTCTGTAAAATAATTTGCTAGAATTTTGATTGGGATTGCATTGAATCTGTAGATCAAGTTGGGAAGAAGTCGCATCTTGACAATATTGGGGCTTCCTCTCCATAAATGGGGATTATATCTACATTTATTTTGTTCTTTGATTTTGTTTATCACAATGTTTTAGTTTTCCTCAAATAGATCTTGTTGAGATGTTGTTAGATTTATGCCTAACTATTTCATTTAGGGGAGCACTAATGTAAACGGTAATGTGTTTTTAATTTCAAATTCCACTTGTTCATTGCAGGTAAATAGGAAAGTGATTGGCTTTTATGTACTAACCTTGCTATAATCACTTATTTGTTCCAGATTATATTTTTTTATTCTTTCAAATTTTCTACATATATTATCATGTTATCTGTGAACAAAGTTGCTTTTATTTCTTTCTTTCAATCTGTAACTTTTTTTTCCTTGTCTTATTGCATTAGCTAGGAGTTCCAGTATAATACTGAAAAGAGTAGTGAGGGAGAACATCTTTGACTTATTCCTGATCTTAGTGGAAAAGCTTTGGGCTTCTCACCATTAAATATGATGTTAATTATAGGTTTTTATTTTTAATTCTCATTATCCAGTTGAGGAAGGTTCACTCTATCCTTAGTTTGCTGAGAGTTTTTATCATGAATGCATGTTGGATTTTGTCAAGTGCTTTATCTGCATCTAACATTATCTATCATGTGACTTTTCTTCTTTAGC